TCTGGCGAGCGCATGCGCCCTATAGCAAAAACCTTTCCAAAAGAAATATATATATGTATATGAAGGTATTAACACAAATACCTTTGAGCTGGTGGTCATACCTGGGCCCACTGAGGGCACCTGGGACCACTGAGGACGCCATGTCTGACAAAACCCTACGTAGACTCCAGGTGTTCCCTTTCAATTACCAAAACGATACAAATGACCCAGAATCAGGGTCAAGGCACTCTTTAACGTTTCTAAACTCCTAAGAAAACTTAGTAATTTCGCAGATGTTTTTCTTAATAGCCTCTTGTCTTCTCAAAGGCCAGACAACACAGGAGGAAAAGAGAAACGACATATTGTACCCATGACTGATTTGGGGGCGGGGAGGGAATTACAAAAAGGCTGGAGGGAGCCATTCAGAAAGAACTGCAAATGGAAAGCCCACCTCTGGGCAGTGCATTTTATTTTATAAATAGCCTTCTAACTTGAAAAGGATGCCCCTGAGCTAAAAATGAGTCTATTCTAATTTTCTAGGCTCCCCAAAGCACAGCCTACAATCCAAAGATGATTGTGTCATGGCTTGGCCATAAAACATATACCACCGGGATAGGCATTTATTTAACACAAGACGAATAAATAAGCTTTTTGAATACACGTACTATGGCAATCCACACTAGTTTTATAAAACGTGCTATTTTTTCCCCAATGGTTTGTGTTTATTTGATATGTACATGGACAGATGTACTATAAAAAAAACACACTAATTTTACCACTACGAGTGAAACATGTTTAATTTAAACCAACTGCGATCATTTTAAACACCAAGAGTATGTTTCACTAGCAATGTGAACAAAAGAAATGCCAATGGTGGAAAATGGCTTATTTAGGACCAGCAGATGGCATAATGGTTATGCCACTGGACTCCCACAAAGTCAACCACGGTTCGAGTCCTAGACCCGGCAGATTAAAACTCATGCTGGGAGTATGTAGGTGCATGCCCAAGATCCCCAGAAAAGAATGGAGAAGAGATTGTGGCATGGTCATATCCCCTGGGGGGTGATTTCTCGCTTTCTGTCTCTCTGTCTTTCTGGCAAGCGCACATGTCCTGTAGCAAAAAATAAACTCTCAAAAAAAGAGAAAAAAAAAACGGGTTCACAATGGGCTCTGATACTAGTCCAAAAGACACTCTCCAAACCATTAAAAGGAGTATTTTGAGATCCTGCAAAATGCTCTGAGATTTCAAAGTGACCATTTTGAAGGCCAGCAGAGTTTGGCTTAGAAAATGTTTTTTGAAAACTTGATCTCATTGCCTTCCAATTCCAGCTATGACATTCTTTGAAGCATAGTTGACCCCAAATGCCGACACTTAGAGACTCACCAAGGGCACCTTAGCGCCTTGCCATCTGAACTGTAAAGTTCAAAAGTCTTCAAAGCCAACTTCGAGAGGGAAAGCTGCAAGGATCTCCCCAGCATGTCCGCAAACGCTCACCCGGTCCACCTCCAGTACCAAGCAAGATCCATAGGGAACCCTAACAAACAGGGCACCAGGACGCTGAGCGAATGAGCGGCCCCCGGAGGTGCCCCAGAGAGAGGGGGTTAAAGACACAGTTCAGCCGGAGCCGGATGGTGGCAGAGTGGGAGAATGAGACACCCCACAAGGCTGACATGTGCGAAAGTCTGGGGTCCCACCCGGAGACCTCACCAGGTCCACAGGGCACGTGTATGCCCATGCTGCAAGCTGGCGGAGCTGGGGTGGACTGCAGTGCCCAGATGCCGCTCGGGGTGCTCTCTGTCTTCCTCGCTTCCGGAAAAAATAAATCAATAAATAAACTTTAAAATAAGAGAGAGATGCATTCTAGGAGTCACGGGAGGTGGCATGTGGCACTTATTTCCAGCGTGAATGCTGCTGTCTCTGCAGTCCTTCCCAACAGCACTGCTCCGGACGTGAAGGGCTCGGGGCCACGCGGGACTCCCTAAACCACGGAGCTGGGGCACGTGGGACAGCATGCACGAGACCCTTACAGAGATGGAAGCAGGAACACGGACCGACCCACAGCGCCTATCTGAAGTGGAAAACGCACAGAGTATCACAACGCAATCTAATTCGAACAACTGTCTTCTTGTTTGAACTTTTCATTTTTGTGGAACATTTTAAACAAACAAAATGAACAAAATGATGAACCCTCACATACCCATAACCCAGCCTTCTTCACATTAGCAGTGTATGGACATTTTGTTTCTTTTTTTTTAAAAAAAACTCTTGGATTCCCCTCCCAATTATTTCGGAGAAAAATCCCATACATAATATTATCTGTATTAGTATTCACAGTGGGTCTTTGGAAGGTTTATGGAAAATACATAGTATGAAAAAAAAAAAAAAAAGCTGCAGAGATTTCAAAGTTTTGCACCAAAATAAACAATAATTTTATTT